TATTCTATTCTATTCTATTCTATTCTATTCTATTCTATTCTATTCTATTCTATTCTATTTAGCACAGACTTTAAAACAAGAAATTGTGAATTTTGGCTGATTTTCTGCTGTATTGCTTCATATTGTTCCAGAATCTTCTATCTAAACCAATTTAAACTTTCTTCCTTTAGTGGACTCCTGGGATATTTATATTTTGCTCATTATGATTTGTCATTATTTACATTAATCCCCAAGGATAGCTGGGTTAATCTGTTGCAGCAAAGAACTGATGGAATGTACTGCAGACCATGAAATTATATCAATTAAAACTACATTTGGTACCTTAAGTTCCAAACTCAGCAAAAATTTTCAATGTTATGGAAATGTTTGTATGTACCCATGGATTGCCTGAGTCAGCACATTTCTATATGCCTAACCTTTCTTGCCATCTCCTCCTAGCTTTTGCTTTTCTTCTTCAAGAGCTTTCATCTTCGCGTCATAAATATCACCTAGAGCTTTCCATTCCGCTCGGTTGTTTTGAAGACCAGCAAGCATTGGTGTAATTTCTTTATGGAACCTTGAGAATTCCTAAAAAAATAGTGGAGCTTCATATATTTACCATTGAAACAGAAGATTAGCAGTAGCAACAGAATGCATTTTTTATACTTAGAAAAATCTTTATTGGATAACAAAGAGGATTGAAAAATCTTATCAGCCCAATATTTTTCTTCAGGGACGCATTTCTAACATATATTACACAAGGAAACTTTATACCTATACCTATATCAATAACTTTATACCAAATTATTCTCCAAAGCACCGAAGGGCAGGACAAGAAACAATGGTTGGAAACTAATCAAAGCGAGAAGCAACCTGGAATTAAGGAGAAACTTCCTAACAGTGAGGACAATTAACCAGTGGAATAGCTTGCCTTCAGAAATCATGGGCACTCATCCAGGGGTGGGTTCTAATTTTTTTTACTACCGGTTCTGTGGGGGTGGCTTATTTTGTGGGGGTGGCTTGATGGTCATGTGACAGCGGGCGTGGCTTGGTGGTCATGTTACTGGGTAGGCATGGCCAACTCAATGTCATTCACGTCAAGGGGTGCCTCGCCTGGCCCCTCCCCTCCCAGCCATTCCTTGTCACACCCAGCCTCAACATATCTATAGTTCTATAAAAATGTTGTTCACCTTTTTTCAACTTTATTATCTACATACTATAGATGCACTTTCATGGACCACTGAAAGGAGGAAATGGCTCACATGCTTTGCCCAAGAGTGTGATAGGCAACAGGCTTTTAAGGGGGGGCAATGTATTTTCCAAAGTACCAGAAGGCTGGATGGAAACTGAACAAAGAGAGAAGCAACCTAAAACTAAGGAGAAACTTCCTGACAGTGTGAACCAATATAGGTGCAGAAATATTTCAGCCATACTTTCACATATAAAATAGCCATTCGTGTAATACAACTTGCATATTGTTCAAAACAGTCATTAGTATTATGGCTGATGTTTGACAGCAAGCCTAAAAGTCAAAGCTTACTTTCTCTGTATGTATACAAAACATCACATACCAGGAATAGCATATTAAGATGGACTCATCACTGGATGTTTTTAAGAAGATTTTAGATTCTCCTGCTTTAGCAGGGGGCTGGACTAGAAAACCTCCAAGATCCCTTCCAGCTCATTCATTCTATATCAGCAGGTTTTCCGTTGGCACTTAAGAGTTCCTTCCTTTATTATAGTTCACTGTTTTTAGGTTCTATTGTTGATTCCCACACACAACGCTAGAATGATGCTAACATTTCTAATATAAAAATACAGGAGATAATATGTATGTCTACTGCCAGTTTGTCTCAACCTGTCCTGCATCAAATACTGAACTCACCAGTCAAGAGGAAGATGTAGCTTTGGAATTTGGGAATGTTTTCCTAAATATTTGTTTGTTTTAATACAAGCATATTCTGGCTTTACTGAATGTAATACATGTGGTTTGACACTTGACTGGAAAATATATTAACACTTGTAGGAAATACTTTGGAGATTCAACATTTCAGGGCATTCACAAATATATGAGCTTATATGTACAATATATTTGCTTGGTTGTTTAATTAACATCTTGTCTTTTCATCAAAAACAGCTCTGTGCAGTTTTAATCTTATATTTTGTATTTCTATATAAGAATATACATAATAAAATGGAATGATATGAAGTTATCCCTTACCTTATACACAAAGGTACATACAAAATCAATGAAACCACACTGAAGCTTAGGTAATTCATCCTTCTTGGCTCTGTCCATCAAAGGCTAGAAAGAGTTGAAGAAAATAATTAGTGAGCATGTAATCTTATTTTTTAAGATTGAATACATGCTGTGTAAGATGCTTACAATTGGTTGTTGCTGTAAGACAGTTCGTTCAAGGTCACCTTGCTCCCAAAATTCACTTGCAACCATCAAAGCAACCTGAGAATGGATAACAATTAATTTTATGTTTTTTGCAATAGTTGTCAGCTAGTAGAGTAATTAGACATGTCCTCCATCAAAGCATGCATTGCTCCATATAAAAGGATATTGTAGAAAAGGACAGAGAAAAGGATTTTTTTCTATGGAAAAAATGCTAACTGTTTAGAAATGGGTCTCCAAACCTAGGGCTGCAGCCCACTACCGGGCTGCGTCCTGTTCAGAACTGGGTTGCATAAGTGGCAGTTGAGCATGGGTGGGCATGCGCTACATTCCACTCACGCAAGTGGCAAGTGCTTCCACCCACATGTGAAGCTCCATTCACTCGCCCACCACTCACATAAAACCATCCCCGCTCCCCTCCTGGAAAGATTGGGGACTGCTGCTTTAGAACCTTGTTTTTATTTTTAGAAAATGTTAACAGAAAGAAAATAGTTATAGAAGTAATGAAATGGTCGGTAAACATGGGCGGAGACTATTTCTTAAGCAGAACATGTTAAGGGGATGTACATTCTAAGTAATAAATGTGTTCCTTGTTTTCACTGCTAAAAATGGGTTCTCATTTAAACCATGATCAGATAGTTGTCAAGCAAGTTCCACATTAATAAGTAATGTGGTCCTCACCACACAATTCGCTGCACATCATAGTTGTGCGATCAATAGCTCAAAAGAGGGATTGGACATGACAGGTAGAAAAACAGCCAAAGACAGGCCTAATTGACAATTAATGGGGCAATAAAAAAAGATAAGATTTTCTTAGCAACGGGCTTAGCAGAAATGTTTGATGACAGATATCAGGACAGGCAGATCTCGAAAAGTTTGTGTGTAAATTTCCCTTCTTTCAGCTCAACTAAAATTTGCCATTTATTTGTAATTTTAAATTGACCCAAAGGGGGGAATCATTAAAATATACAAATAGTAATATGGTCCCTGTATTAAGTTCATTAAATGAATTACCGGTAACTTGCATTGTATTACACCAACTTAGATTTTGATCTGATTTGGCGTAATACAGCTGTCAGCATTCAGAGTCCAGTATGGCCTTTAGTCTGAAATAGATGGTGTACCTCAGGGCTAGATTGGGCTTTGGTCTGAACTGGAAGGATTCGTAAGGGAGTTTTGCTTCCTTAAAAAAACATGTCAGATTTCTCCTATGTTGCATTATATCTAAATTGCTTTGCAAGTACAACAAATAGACAGAAGAGCATACATTAAATTCTGAGTTTTGCTTGATTCTTATGGTGCCCACCTTACTTTGCACCTCCCAAGGTTTAGTGATGGCAGAAAGGTCACAACCGGTCATCATCATAGCCCTTTAAATAAAAATAATAGATTTAGACATTTTTTTTAAAAAAAATCAGCACATTCCATGTTGTAGGAAGAGAAACATTAAATCTACTTACATGACTACTTCTTTTTTGGTAGGGTCCATAGTTATGTATTTAATTGCTTCATTCTCATCTTCCATTTTTTCAGTGACATCCACTATTTTTTGAAACATAGTCCTTTTCCTGAGAAAAACAGTAACTTTTGTGATACATATGTCACATTTTTGAGGGTCTGCTTCAACTTCCAGTATTGTGTGAAGAGTTTGAACTTTCACCTTCATATATATCATGCTATATTTTAAGTATCATAGTGCCCTGATGCTTAAATCATGCTGAGCTTTCTTATTAAATCTCAGTATTGTATTTACATTGGGTTTTTAAGTAGAAATATTACAGAAAGTACATTGGAATGCAATTGTTTTTATGATGAGTAGATATGCAGATGTTTAAACCGGACATAGTCACAGATGAATTCAATTGTTAAGGTTTTATATCATTTAACTTGCCTTTGACAATGATTAAAACCACAAAAGAGCAAAACAAAAGGGCTCTTTAAAATTAGAGTATAACAAAATGCAGTAATGTTAATGTGCATAAGATTTCATTGTTTGGTAATAGGAAATCAGGGACTTACTTGAAATACAGAGCCAAGTCAGTTGCTATGATGCAAATTTCAAATATATGTAAAACATTTTCATGCTGGCGTTTATTTAGATTTTGGAAGATGTTTAAACTCTGCAGAATAAAGATATTTTTGCAAGTCAGTATTGCTCCCAAAATAGAAAAATAGCATTTCCTCCATAGAGGAAAGCTATTGTTTGGCTATAGCTAGTAGGAATATTTTATGTACCAAATGAATGAAAATAAGCACAGACCTCATCTTGTAGCAGGGTTTTACTGTACTCTAGATGGTGCCTTTCTAAAATGGAAGAGCCATGGAGTTTTGCCAATGGAGCTGCTGTCCTGGTGAAACATTAAAGGATTGAGAATATATCAGGTTCTGGGGGGGGGGGTTTGCCCAAATCTTTGCACATTTTAAGAACAGTAGTGAACAACCTGAGGAATAGAAGGAACATTATTTTTGCATGCCCAGGATCATCATCTTCTTCTTTTAATGATCCCATAATCCCTTGCGGGGTGGAGTCTGGGCCACTGAATGGATCTGAGTGTTTACTGGCTGGATGTCCTTCCTGTCATCAATGCGAGCTTGTTCAGCAGATACATTCTCATTGTGCCCAGAGAGAGAAATACCTGCCTGTACCTAGGATTGAACTCACAACTCCCTGATTGTGAAACGAGAACTCTACCTTTAGGCACCGCATCACTCATTTTGCATGCCCATAATGTCCCTGGAATATCTCCTTATTTGAGAAGACTAGGGGCAAAACAGACGCATTAAGGCCTTGTTTAACAGACCTATTTTATCTCTTAAAATTCATGGAAATCTAATCCCAAAGCAAGTTGATCTGTTAAATTTTGAGGAACAAAACAGGTGCTTTCAGCTCTGCAAAGCTCATGACATATATTTTGCCCGTTGACTTCCGCTGAGCTTCATGTGGCAAAACAATTGGCCCATTCTTCAAAGGTCATTTATACCCCTCTAATGGCATCTATGTATTTATTTAATATTACGCTTGCTTACATGTAAATTCCCCACTTCTGATATAGAGCTTTTCGTGGTTTCTTATCAACAAAGTCCCAACAACAGACCTTCTTTCTAGTCAGTTTCTGATTCCAGAACTTTTGAGCTCAATATGGGCAATTGCCAAAAGCTCAGGAGATCTCAGCAATCACCGCTGGAGACCCCAGAGACAATTTTCTTGGGCCAGCAGTGACTATTAGATCAGCCATCTAATTGTTCTCCACCATTTGCAAACCTCTGAGATGTAACTGATGTGTCAGATTATATTAACAACCTTAATACCGAGTTGTTTTCATTTCAGTTATTTTTAATTCAGCAAATAAAAAGTCCCCTTAAAAATTATTATCGCCTTCATCATGATTATGATTTATACCTCTCTCACTTCCAGAGAAGCTCAGAGAAGTTTAAGAAATAAATAAAACCTATGAAAGAAGGAAATTGCAATACACTCTTAGAGAAATAAGGTAAAATATAAATGGGACTGCTGTTAAGAAGAGCAGAATCTGCTTCTTTATAACTGTTTTTTCTTTCCACCTTTTTTATTTACTTATTATTTTGCTTTGTACTTTTTCTCTTTCAGAGTTTGCATTGTTTTTATACTTTTAATTTTTTAAAATAAAAATTACACATGCATGAGTGCACATACACACAATAAAACTGGCAAGAAAATTAATAGTGGCTTCCTTCTTTAAAATATACTTAAAATCATCTAAAAATCATCCAGCTTTGGACTGGTTATCTCACAAATTCCTGAGTGGATGGTTATCTCTTTTAACTTTTTTTTAAAAATCAGATTCCCAGCTAAGCATCTTTCAGGAAAGAATTATATAATAAGGATGTTGTTGTGGAGATGCTCTCCTCCTGGCTACCAGAAAGCTGAAACCCAGGGCTTTTCCAGCTGAATGGATTGGAGAATACAAAGGAGAGAGAGATCCCCAGTTGTGCCATGTTCCTTCAGAAGTAGTATGATCTTATCCAAGCAGATTGACTTCACAATTCCATCTATCCAAATACCTCTTCTCTGATTCAGCTTCAGTTCCTAGGGCCTCACCCATCATTGCCTTCAGACCACTATCTAACAACTCCCAGAGTCCCTTGGGAGTTGGGCGGCATAGAAATGCGACAAAATAAATAAATAATAAATAAATAAATAATAGCAACCACACAACCTTTCCTCATTCAGGTGGAAAAGAGAGATGGAGCTAAGAATCATCAGCATATTGATGACATTGAACTCCAGATCTGGAGGATGCACAGATGTAGCTATCAAATAACAAAGGGTAGAAAATTGAATCTAGTGGGATCCACAAATTGGGTGACATGGACCAAGCAAAAATCTATTGCCACATCTTGGGGCAATTCTGCAGCTAAGGATGGAACTACCCTCTAGTTCCACACATACCCCCTAGGACAGTCCAACAATATCCCCTTCCCGGAGGTCTCAAAAGACCACTGAGGGATCAAAGAAGATCAGCATCTAGGCTTGCCCCAATGTCCAGCACTCATTGTGTCTCTCTCCCAGTAGAAGTTATTGATTGAGGGTAGCCAAAGCTACACCCACGTCTGAAGATGACATTTAAAAGCAGGCACCACAGTACTATTATAGTAGGCCACAAATAAAAGCACCAAGCCTTGGGTGAAGCATAGCAGGTTTTCATATTCCATGTTCAGGAATGAGGGAGACGAACAAGTTTTCTCTCCATCCCCATTCCACCTTAAAGAGAAAAGTCATGTAAGGGTTGTACTCCCTGACTATCAACTACTGCAGTAGCTAAGTAGAACCCTACATTCAGCAGCTGTGAATTTCCATACTTAATACGTATTGAGTTTGGCTGTAGAGTTCTACTGGACAGAATTGTTTGGACCGACTTGTGGCCTTCCCAGAGCTTTGCATAGTCTTTCTAGTCAAGGATACACAAGGATGCTAGTTTAAGCATGAAATGTTTTATAATGACACGAAATAACTCATTCTTTAGTAATCAAAGATACAAAGAAATGTACCACTCACTTCATTTGATATAAGTTGTTGGTTCCTCTATGATCAATATCGTGGCAGAAAGCTGCAGATACCATAGCAAAGGCTTCTAGGTCAGTGTAATATTTCTTTAACTTACCAGTCTATAAAAAGAGAGACCTTTATAATCATTTCTTTATATCTACATGTACACGTACATGTATATCTATATCTCTATATAGTATATATCTATATCTACATCTATATCTCTACAGTATACAGCATATCATATCCATGCATCCATCCATCCATCCATCCATCCATCCATCCATCCATCCATCCATTTATCTATCTATCTGTCTGTCTGTCTGTCTATCTCTGTCTACCTATGTATCCATCCATCATAATGAAAAGGAAATTAAGGCTTAGATCCAAAGAAACAACTGATACCATTAAAAGAGCAAACATGGTCTGTCCGACATTAAATCCATGCCGCCAGTTGTGGTAAGTGATGTCACGATATCCTTTTCTGATTGTGTACATCCATCTTGTGAGTACCTGCGAAAAATGGAGACATTCCATTCTCTTACCATTGTATGGTACTTCTGAACATTGTATAAGATAACAACTTTAATGGTCACAGTGAAATTTTTATGTATTTATATTTATTTATATTTGAATTTATATACCGCCCTTCTCCCCCTAGGGACTCAGGGCGATGAACAGCTGAAATTAAAATACATACAATATAAAAGTTAAGATAACTAAAATAAATTAAATCAATTGGCCCCCAATTTAAAACCCCAAAGCTATATAATTAAAAACTAACCCATAAAAAACCTAATTAGGCTAGGCCGGCTTGCTGAAATAAAAACGTCTTCAGGGCCTTACGGAAAGTGCGGAGATCCGGGATCAGTCGTATTCCGGGAGGAAGCTCATTCCAGAGGGTGGGTGCCCCCACAGAGAAGGCTCTCCCCCTGGGGGCCGCCAGCTGACATTGCTTGACCGACAGCACCCTGAGGAGGCCCTCTCTGTGAGAGCGTATTGGCCGGTGGGAGGTTATCGGTAGCAGAAGGCGGTCTCGTAAATACCCTGGCCCTAAGCCATGGAGCGCTTTAAAGGTGAGAACCAACACCTTGAAGGGCACCCGGAAGACCACCAGGAGCCAGTGCAGCTGGCGCAGGAGAGGTGTTATATGGGACCGCGGTGCGGTACTCATCTCCTTTTCTTGGCTGAGGGAGCCAGATATTTTCCAAGACCATGTGGCCAGCATGGCTATACACCAAAAGCACATAGAATGCTCTTATCATCCAACCAAAGTGGTACCTATTTATCTACTCACATTTGCCTGCTTTCAAACTGCTAAGTGGTCAGGAAATGGGGCAGGAACTGGAGCTCACCCTGTTGCATGGCGCTCGGGTCTCAAACCCGGACTGTCAGCTTTCCAGCTGAAAAGCTCAGCTTTTTTAACTGCTGAGCCATTGGGCCCCTTATGGGTACAGTAGGAATGGGAAAATAATTAGATTTTGCCATTCTTATCGTGCCAAGATAACCCTTCATAAAAGCTCGATTGGATTCACTTTGTTCTCCCTCTTGTAGCACTCTAGGTGCTCTTTTGCTTCACCTCCCCAGATGTCTATGGGGATTCTCAGTCATCCAGGTCTTGGTTGTCCCAAAGGTGCTTTTTCTTAAAGAGACATCTGGACTTTCTGTTTTTTCTTTAAAGACGTTTCACTTCTCATCCAAGAAGCTCTTTCAGCTCTGAATGAGAAGCGAAACATCTTCAAACAAAAACCAGAAAGTCCAGTTGCCTCTTGAAAAATTCATCTCCCCAACTACTTTTGAAATACAGCTATTTTTCCAGATCCACATGCAGTAGGAGTCTGCCGAGGCACATTCCCATGTAAGGACGTCACATCCCCTCAATCCAAGGCGTGACTAACAGGGCATTGAATCATGTATCAGAGCCTTAGGAATAACCCCAAATTCCTTCTGAAATCCAGTGGGGGTCTCATCAGGGACAGGGGTGGGCTCCTGGGGGTTTGGCAGGGTTCAGGCGATTCTCTAACCAAGAATGGCCGGGGTTCAGCAAACCCCCAAATGCCACCCCTGGCTGGCCATTCCCACCCCGCCCCTCCACTCCCAGGAGTCTCCACATGGCCCATTCATCATTCCAGGTAAGTGCAGGGCTACGCAAAAGGTCTGGGAGGGCAAAAAATGGGCCTCCTGGAAGTTCTGGAAGTCCGGAAATGGGCCTGTTTCCGGCCTCTGGAGGGCCTCTGGATCCTGGCGGAAGCAGTTTTTGCCCTCCCGGAGGCTCGTGGAAAGCCTCCAAAGCCTGGGGAGGGCGAAAAATGCCCTCCCTGCTATGGTGCAGGCAGCTGACTAGGCCACCCCCACCATGGCCATACCCACCCATCAACAGGGCAGTGAACCTGTTGCTAAAGGTTCTGAAGCCCATCCCTGATCAGGGACCCTTTTATGTCACGTCTAGAATGTGTTTTCTAGTACATTCTCCCCTCAGGTAGGCCTATTGTGCTATTGTGAAATCAATATCCATTAGCAAAGGTCACATGTCATGGATTTCATCCTGAACCATCTTTATGGGGTGGGGGGGAGGAGACAAAATGAACCTGACCTCTGCTGGTACTTTGAACTTCTCTACAACTTTTAACTGGAAGAACATTTGTATGCCACATTTGATTAAGTCATGATCTGTAACGGGGAAGTCGCTGAAGCGAAATTCAAAGAGTTCAACGCCCTCTGGCTCGGGCAATTCTTCTGCCTGTTGAAGGAGAAAAAGCAAGATAACCTCAGTTGGACAGGTAAAAGATATTGTGAGTATCTTTTATTTATTACCTTCCTCAGTATTTATTGTTAGGGGGAGCGCTAGCCGCTTGGAATGATCACCTATGCAGAATTCTCAGGTTTCAAGCGGCATGTCTGAAAAAAATTAACCTATTTGATAATTATGAATTATTTTTGCAAGGAAAAGATTTTATGGTAGTGAAATTTATCGCTACCTGGTAGTTTCTGTGAGATATAACTTAAAGAAAAGATCGTCTGAAATATCCAGATCATTTGCTGTAAGATGAAGATATATTTTAAAACAAATTGGCTAAATCAGTGCCCCTTCGGATAAAATCTGGCTCATCAAATAGACCCTGTTTGTGCATTGAGCCTTTAGCCCTAAGGTCCGCAATTTCAGGAAAAGAAGCAGAATGGAAAATTATGACTAGCCTCCTAAGAAAATGATTCTGTATAATTGTAAAGGGCTCCTTAATCCAGTTACTTATTACAATGAGCAGTCTGATGCTTTAAGAAGCCTGACAAGCAGGGGATTAATGGCACTTTTCAGGTCATGCTCTCCAGCTGTCAAATATTGCTAATTGGGAATTACAGAATAAGAGAGTTGGAAGGGACCTTGAAGGTCTTCTAATCCAATCTTTATTCAAGTAGGAGATCCTATACCGGTGATGGCTAACCGTTTTGCCCTCGCGTGCCAAAAGCGGGGGTCACACGGGGAGGTCGCGCGCTTGTGTGCCCACACCCATAATTCAATGCGCCCTGCCCCCCCCCCACATGCAACACCCCCCCGTGCTCCCCCTGCTTTTGGCACGTGATGGCACAGTGGGCCCGTTTCTCACCCTCCCCAGGTTCCAGAAGCTTTCTAGGAGCCTGGGGAGGGCAAAAACGGCCTTCCCCAACCCCCCGGAGGCTGGAAATGGCCTGTTCCCTGACTTCCGGTGGGCCCAGAAGACCTGAAAATGAGCCAGCCAGCACGTCCATGCACACTGGAACTCAGCTAGGGCAATCCTCGCGTGCCCACTGATATGGCTCCGCGTGCCACAGGTGGCACACGTGCCATAGGTTCGCCATCACAGTCCTATACCATTCAGGAAAAACGGTTGTCCAGTCTCTTCTTGAACCCCTCCACCCACAATTTCTGAAGGCAAGCAATTTCACTAATTAATTGTTCTCCACTTAGGAAATTTCTCCTTCATTTTTATTTGTGGTGGTGAGTCCCTCGGGAGAAGGGCGGTATAAAAATTTAAATAATAAATAAATAATAAATAATAAATTTGGGCCTCTCTTTGATAACCTTCAGTCATTATTTCTTATCCTATCCTCAGGTGCTTTTGGGGAAATAAGTTGATGCCCTCCTCAACTATTGGAAGACTACTATCATGTCACCCTAGTCCCTCTCTTTGTTAGACCAGACATTCCTAGTTCCCACAACTATTCTTTGTTTGGTTTAGCCTCCAGTCTTCTAAATTATCTTTGTTTCTCTTCTCTGCAATCTTTCTAGAGTCTCAACATCTTTTTTTTATCATGTTGACCAAAACTGAATGAAGCATTCCAAGTGGTGTTACCAGTGCAGTATAAAGCAAGAATACCATGGGAATTCAAATGAAGGGAAAAGAAATATAAAAATGTATTCTCTTTCCTCCAATTCATGAAAACCAAGCAGAAGAAAATAAGAGGGTATAAAATGAGGAAAACACAGATCATGTAAATTCTGCCGCTTTAATACATGAGTCACAAACATGAGCTAAGTTGGTCTAGTTCAAATCTCACCAGGCTCAAGGTTGACTCAGCCTTCCATCCTTTCGAGGTAGGTAAAATGAGGACCTGGTTTGTGGGGGCAATAAGCTGACTTTGTATAAAAAAGAACACCGCTTAGGGGGGGCCAAAAGCCCTATTAAGTGGGTATATACAAAAGTATGAAGGCTATTGCTTAACACATTGTAAACCGCCCTGAGTCTCCGGAAAAGGGTGGCATATAAATCGAACCAATAAATAAATAAATAGTCACAGTTGGTTCTTGAATAACCTAAGAAAGTCTGTGTTCCAGGAAATGCATGCTCATTGTTCTGACAAGATCTCTAGATTCAACTGGTGCTATTGTTCCAGTTGTTTTTCCAAATGGAAGGAGTATAACCTTCATTCAGTGAATGGCCAATCTAGAATCGACTTAATCAACTTAATCAAGTCAGCTCACAGTGACACTGAAACATTTAAATATGTTCCTTGGATCAGGAAGTTTTACTATATAATCAATGCAACCTGAGCAATATCAATCCTGTGAGTTACCAAAATAGAGTTAGACAGGAAGTCCAATATCAGTGACATGCTCTGAACCCAAAGATTCAACTAGAGTCAACTATGAGCCGAGGTGGCACAGTGGTTGGAGTGCAGCACTGCAGGCTACTTCAGTTGACTGCTAGCTGCAGTTCAGCAGTTCAGATCTTACTGGCTCAAGGTTGACTCATCCTTCCATCTTTCCGAGATGGGTAAAATGAGGACCCAACTTGTTGGGGGCAATATGCTGACTCTCAGAGGTGGGTTTCAGCAGGTTCTGACCAGTTCTGGAAAACCGGTAGCAGAAATTTTGAGTAGTTCAGAGAAACAGTAGTAAAAATTCTGACTGGCTCCACCCCCATCTATTCTCTGCCTCCCAAGTCCCAGCTGATTGGGAGGAAATGGGGATTTTGCAGTAACCCTCCCCTGGATTGGGGAGGGAATGGAGATTTTACAGTATCCTTCCCCTGCCACGCCCACCAAACCATGCCCACCAAGTCACGCCATGCCCACAGGACCGGTAGTAAAAACATTGGAAACCCACCACTGCTGACTCTGTAAACCGCTTAGAGAGGGCTGTAAAAGCACTATGAAGCAGTATATAAGCAAATTGCTATTGCTAGATTAGAATATTGCTTTGAATATCATGCAATCATGAAAGCGACTGAGGGAACCAAATACCCACCAGTCTACTTTGTAAAGGCAGAAATAGTAACCGTTTAGCAATAGAAGAATCCCTAGGTAGCTATTACAGGTAATTGATAACATTAGGAACTGAACATGTTTCTTACTTATTGTTTATGGTACATTTGTGAATTACATATAGTTTATAGCCCAAAGGAGAGGAAACACACTGAAATGTGATACTAGGCAGAGAAGAAACAGGATAAAATGGAACATTATATAGCAGTAGAGGTAGCCCACTAGTAAAATGAGAGTTCCGTATACAGATATTCCTCAACTTGCAACTATAATGGACCCTGGAATTTCTGTCATATGCCATGACAGTTGTAAGTCAAGATACCCAGGTGACCAACCGGATGTTACAACATTTTTTGTGGGCAATTGTTAAGCAAACATGGTGGCTGTTAAATGAATGAGGTAAACATTAAGTGATTGTGGTAATCATTAAGCAAAACCATCATCCACAATGAGATGTTTTTGGCTGGAAACCAGAAATAAATATCAATTTCTTACAGAAAACATCAAAAATCGCAGTCATATGCCTACAGGACACTGTAAAGCAGGGGTCTCCAACCTTGGCAACTTTAAGACTTGTGGACTTCAACGCTGGCTGAGGAACTCTGACAGTTGAAGTCCACAAGTCTTAAAGTTGCCAAGGTTGGAGACCCCTGCTGTAAAGGACCATAAGAATGTCTCCAAAATGTGACTACATGAACATGGGGATGGAAGAATGGTCAGAACTTTGAATCTAAGTCCTAAATACCATTTTGGGGGAGAGGGGTCTATCATAACTTTTAACAGTCGCTAAGCAACCAGTCATAAATTGAGGACTAACTATAGAGAGAATTAGATGGCAAAGAAACCAGGTGGACAAAAAGCAGATTATAAACTATGAATATATATTTGAGTGGTGTCTGTGTATGTGTCTACTTACCTACCTATTCTGAGTTCAAGCTTTAAAAATCAGAAGAGTACTTAACAGGGGGCCTGGCAGTGGATTGGGAATTGGGAATCACTGCAGGTGATAGGCTCATAATATCTTCCCATCCCAAAGTACATGAGAAAGTGGTAAAGTTACTTTCAGCTGGAAGTTACTCTAACACAGATTAGTGAAGCCAACTATTTCTATCCAGGAAGAATTATAGCTGGTGAATATAGCTAATCTATTTCATGCTACAGTGGTTTAAGGAGAATTCTTATCGTTGTTGTTGTTAGTTGCGAAGTCGTGTCCGACCCATCGTGACCCCTTGGACAACATTCCTCCAGGCCTTCTTGTCCTCTACCATCCTTTGGAGTCCATTTAAGCTCACACCGACTGCTTCAGTGACTCCATCCAGCCACCTTGTTCTCTGTCATCCCCGTCTTCTCTTGCCCTCAATCTTTCCCAGCATTAGGCTCTTCTCCAGTGAGTCCTTCCTTCTCATTAGGTGGTAAACCAATCCAAATCAGAATGAAGATGACCTATTCAGACTAGTAGGCAATTCTATTCTGCCAGAGTTGGAATGATTCTCAATTTATTCCCCTTCACCTAAGCTGTTAAAAACTCAACCACTGCTTTAATATTCCTGCTATATCCGCTGAAGGAAAACAGAAGTGTATGGGTGTAAGCAAGCCAAGTTCTTGTTTCGTTTTGCAACTGCTTGTTCCTGATACTTATTCTGAGATTACCTCCGAGCCACGAATCAGTTCCCCTCAGAAAAATGGCAGTCATAAAATGATACCTGCTTTATTCCATTAGAGAGCTAAGATTCCAAACTTTCCTAGAGACTAAAGCCTTTATTGGTGGCACGGCACCAGAGATCTCTCTATGAAAGCATTTATGTTTATGTTTATTGTATTTATATACCGCCCTTCTCCCGAAGGACTCGGGGCGGTGAACAGCCAGCAGATAAAATACAGAAAATACAAAATTTAAAACAATATTAAAATCCAATTAAATTAATTTGGCCCACAGTTAAAACACCCCTCTATTAAAACCCATAATTTAACAATTTAAAATTAAAATAATTTAAAAAGTTAGGTCAGGTCAGCCCGGCTTGATGAAACAGAAACGTCTTTAAGGCATGGCGGAAAGTGCGCAGATCCGGGATTCGCCGTATCTCCGGGGGCAACTCGTTCCAGAGGGTAGGTGCCCCCACAGAGAAGGCTCTCCCTTCCATATAAGTTTCTTACCATGATTCATATCCTACCTTTTAAACACGAGAAAGGAAGAATTTAAAAAAATGATCCAATGCATTAAATTTAAATTTTAGCAATCCAAACTGAAGAATACATGGGGACAGAAAGTTCTAATTATGTTTGTTGGTCCACCATTTATCAAGGCAGAACTAGGATTGGTACAGTTGGTACAAATGGCATCCTGGTGTCCTATGTGGTTATGCATTTATTTATTATTTGTTTGTTGTTTACTTATTTATTTAAAAAGTTTGTATGACTACTATTTATAATTTACAATCAATCTCAAATATTTCTTACAGAGCAAAGGGTAAAATAGGAGCTAGGGAAGCAAGTTGTCATCCTACAATTTTTTAAGTTATTATTATAAATCAATGGTTAAAAGTGCACCCTCCTATTTGGGATGTGAGGTTACAGAAATGTAGCTGGTTTATTGGTAGTTCTAGTTAAGACAGGTAGAAGAAATTAAACTTGATTAATCTATTCAACTGTCTAAAATGTAGCAGTTTCCCTATAATCTGTGTGTGTATGTATGTGTGTGTGTGTATATATATATATATATATATATATATATATATATATATATATATATATAAAATATATATATATAATATATATATATATATAAATATATATATATATATATATCTTTTAATTCATAGGTATAAATGTGCGATATTTTTGCAATCAGGGTTTTTTCCTATGTTGAAAGATGTTAAAATGGCCATGGTGGGATGAAATCTCTATTCATCGCTTTCAGGCCTGTCAGACATTTTATGTTGTTTCTTCTGAGACTTATGGGAGACTGGGATAGCACTATTTCGGCCTTCTTGGACCTCTTCAGCCAGACACACCCATATTTTATGACTCCTCCCTGTAGAGGTCAAATATTTATTTGATGCGATGAATAGAGATTTCATCCCACCATGGCCATTTTAACATCTTTCAACATAGGAAAAAACCCTGATTGCAAAAATATCGCATATATATATATATATCTGTTACATCCTAATTCATAGTTATTGGTGTGTAAAATTCTCTTTCAGGCAAATAGGTATCCCTCAAGTAAAACTGACAGGCACAAGTTAACAAATAAAATTTAAAAACTCCTAGCTGATAAATAAATAAATCACCAAGAATATTTCCACAGTATGAAATTATGATTGTATAGGCTTAAAGTTGACATTTAAGAAAACATTTGGTTACTTACCAGAATTTTAACAAGCTCTTTCTCATCACAGTCTTCAAAATTTTCTTGATTCAATTTTTCTTGGCATTTCTTAAAGTAAGGAACAAATGAAATAAACAATTAAGTTCGGTTCATCCAACTATAAGGTTCACACTTCCACCCAGGATGTGCAAGGAACACTTACCAGTATACTTTTAACTTCTGAAGTTGTCGCTTTTGTCTGATACATGAGCATTTCCTGAGCAATATCTTTCCGATTTTCCATCTTATTCATTTTCTCATATGTGTCAGGATTTAAAACAGACCATCCAAGGAACTGTGTAAGCATCTGAATTGACAAAGAACTAGAATTGTTTAGAGATTTCAGTGTGACTTGTCCGATGTATTTCAAATTTGAAAAGACACATATCCAATAATACTTTTACGCTTTTCTTCAGGATTTCTTAAAAACACATCCAAAGATGTTGAATGATATAGTTGCTAATTTTTAGCAATGTCCCCATATGAAGAAGAAATAAGACTCGATTCTATTATCGTGTTTCTCTGAATTTTTTGAAACCCAAAATATTTATATTTTTTGAACCCCGAAATAAGCGCTTGGCCTTGTTTTCGAAGATGTCTTATTATTTTGGGGCGCATGGAGCAAGATGGGGCTCCTCTTGCCATCTTACCCGATTTACAGCTCTGTCTCCCTAACCCTAACCAGAGGAAATAGAGAGGACCAGCTGCACATGCATTTAAATATTTTTGGGGAGGGCTTATTTTCAGGGGGGGGCTTATTTTAGTGCATGTGCTCAAAAGCCCAATTGGGCTTATTATCTTATTTTCGGGAAAACAGGGTAGTTAGACTCTAAATCAAATCCATAGCCTCAATTTAGGCTTCATATTATATGTTACACATCAAGAAATCTTTACACATCACATCTTCCAGGTTTTATCATATGTAAGTTTTCACGTGTACAATGAACATCTCTCTGTATGTATGTGTGCTGGAGAGGAAGCCAACATGTCTGTACAAGAGTCTTGTCTGATTACAGCATGTTATGTATACCTTATGGCTTCTATTCAGTTTTGTAGGCATACCATGTAAGTAACACCATTAGGAGAATGGATCCCCTTCTCATTCAAAGGTAGGGATCCTAATGAAGCAGGCTAAGAGGAAGAAACCGCAGAAAGATTGGGACAGGTTGTACCATTCTGGGTGGGTTGGATGGTGGCCTGCAACAATTATGTAATAAAAGTTTATGTGATTACATTAAAACCACATTTCAAATATTTGTTGGGAGAGCATGCCACAGAGTCAGTGCCAGACTTTGTAGCTACCTACCTACCTACCTTCAGAAAGATGCAGAAATAAGTAGAGGATGGAAAAAGATATGTAGGGAATGCCATGCCCTCAAAGTCATTTAGAGCTGTAAAAGCTAATAACCAGTAATGCCTGGGAGAGAAGGTGGCAAAAAAACCCAAGATGGCAGTTGCAATTATCAATGCCTCAACCATTTTGTGTATGTCTGAAGTTTATACATACAAAAGGGGTGGCCCTTGATTGCCAGTTGATACTGTCATCTTGACTATTTTCACACACACACACATACTGATGATCCTAATATGAACACCAGTATACATTTAGCTAAAAACAAACTAGTTCAACCAATGCAACTCCAAGAAAACAGGTGAAACTTGCTACTACTATATGGTTCCCAACAAGCTAGCCCATTCCATGGTTAGAATGAAGGGTTCTTGGCCATATAGTGGACTTTCAATGATCTCTTAATGATGGATGGTGTCAGCTGCCACCTCACACTTGCGCTTCACAACCATTCAGTATCAGCTGCCATGAATTTTAAGGGGGCTGGATGGGAGGGGGGAATGCTTCGAGGGAAACGAAACTTCACTGTATTTCTCCGAGATGGGTTTCAAGGACAATAGGCTGGGAGCGGAAAGCAGCTGCATATCAAACTTATGCCTGATGTGACTATTCTAAAAACATCTTGTTTGAATTTGACTGGACATGGAGGCCCAGTGATGGGAGGCAACTAAGAGAGGGAAAAATTAGACTTGGGGATTTTGGTGCATGATTTTCAGTTCTAGCTAAAATTCACTTGACTTCTAGTAAATTATCTTTCTCAATAAATGGAGTTAAGGATTGTCCTTACTTAGAGGTTCAAGCTGAGACAGGTTTGACAGATAGTGAGGTTGTGGATGGTATACTAACTTTCATTTACCTTTACCAATATACTAACAGCTACTGTATTCTATCATTTTTATTATCATTGTTTATAACAGTAAGTTGTACCTAAGGACACACTCAAGATATTTAACTCCTTGCTTGCAAGATAAACTACTGATTCTAAATTCTATTTCAAGGACTGCTGCAGAGACAGATAGAAACATTAACAAGTATACATATTAAGTTCTATGAGAATTTCCTTTCTCTAGTGCCAGGCTGTAAGCTGATAAAACCTGCCAACTTTGAACTTACTTCAGTAATCTGTTCGTCATATTCATCAAAGGGTTTGCCATCATTCCTGTTGTAAAAGGTAGCTACGCCTACAATCTCTTCTTTTTTGTTTACAATAGGTAAAGATAAGACATTTTTGACGGTCCAGCCTGAGTCATCCAAAGCTTCTCTCTAAACAAAAGGAAAAGGAAAAGAAAGGCTGTAAAAGTAATTTATGGAGACCAGCATAGTATGCATGGTGCATGTACATAGGATAAAGGCAGAAGCTCAAACTATATAAAATAAGAATTAATGCTTTTATCTGTCTACTTGCTTAGTAAAATGACTCAGTAAAAATGGTATTACCTGAAAAGCGAAGTAATCATCTGCTGCTGGATTCATCATATTACAAATCTAGGGGAGAAATTATACAATAAAGATTAGTTTCTACCTATAAATATTGGCATTCGTTACTCTTTTTCCATCTTACCTATCTTAACAGGTATTTATTAATTAGTTTGTGATATGAAAAAAGTTAGAAGAAGTCATGAGAACTTAGGGAATGCTGAAAGGAAACTAATGAGCATACTTTCCCTATAAAATTCAGTGAATGAGACTGTGCTTTCCAAATGGAAAAAAAAATCATTTGGAATTGCCATTTTCAGGTTCGCTTGAAAGTGGATAAGGAAAAAGGTAGTCCTCCACTTACGACCACACTTGAACCCAACATTTATGTTGCTAAGTGAGACATTTGTTAAGTGAGTTTTGCCCCATTTTATGACTTTTCTTGCCACATAAGTTAAGCGAATCACTGCAGTTGTTAAATTAGGAACACGGTTGTTAAGTAAATCTGGCTTCCCCACTGATTTTGTTTTTCAGAAGGTCACAAAAGTGAATCCCAGGACCATGGGACACTGCAACTGTCATAAATGTGAGTCAGTTGTCAAGCATCCAAATGTCAATCATGTGACCAAGGGGATGCTGACATGGTCATGTGAAAATGACCCTTTTAGTTTTTATGGTCATAAGTCACTTTTTTCAGTGCCGTTGTAACTTCGAATGGTCACTAAGCGAACTGTTGTAAGTCAAGGAGTACCTGTACTTGAAAAATGAAAGTGTACAATAATGGTCAACCCTACCTTTTAGCCTAAATAAGCCTTCAATGCCTTGGTGTTCTTCAGGGTTTTTGAACTAAAATGTTACTGCCAATATGGTCTGCCTACAAAGCAATGCAGATAGCCCTCAACTTACAATTAGTTGCTTAGCAACCATTTGAAGTTCAATGGACTCCACAAAATGTTCTTATGATGCGGTTTCACAGTTCCACACTTCATGCCATGATATGGCTTTCCCCCTGAAGGGAGCCTTTCTGATGGCCATTCCTTCCACAATCATATGATCACACTTTGGGTGCTGGACAACTGGCCTACATTTACAGTTGTTTGCTGTATCCCACAGACATGAGACCATGATTTAGGATGGGTTTTTTTTTGCTGGAAAGTGGTCTTTACTTCCGGTTTCTGGCCAAAAAAACGGCCATCTCAGACGATAGATTTGCTTAATGACTCTAGTATTTGCTTACTTACAACTAACTAAAGGTTGTACAATTGGGCACAGTCACATTGTGACCCACTCAATGGACAGCATGACTTACAACTATAATTCCAGGTTCAATTTCGATTGTAAGTTGAGGATTACCTGTAATGGCTGAAGATGATTGTTAACCACTCACAAAACACATTAACTAGAAAAGATAAATGTTTTGCCATCCACTTCCTTTTAGTGTAGTCTCAATATACACACCATTTTCTAAAAATCTAAGCTCCAAAATCAATACAAATGAAGAATGAAGCTATACAATGAATTTTTTGGGAAAAGTAGATTAATTGTAAGAGTTGTATAATTATAGACCTCTCTGGACTCAGCTTGCAGCTCCTCAAGGGAGGTAAACTTCATTGTTTGGGAAACCCTGATCTAGAAGCTAGAACAGGAAGGCTGTAGTAAGATAGTAGGACTTTGCAAGCCAACAGCTTCAGGCATAATCCACAATTTTTCATGAATAGAGCTGAGAGAAGTCCTGATCTAGAATCTTGAGCTAGTGTCATTCAGTGTGGAGAACATTAAGCTAAATAGACAAATGGTATATTTTTGGGCCACAGAACACAATTAATTTGTTCACAGTCAAATAGCCTAAGTAAGTACACATGAAGTAAAAGAGGGTCGCAAATAATTGCACCACGATGTTATTCCTTTCCACGTGCAAGATTGTGAAATTAAAATGATTAGTTCAAATGTGAACATGTAGATTTCCACACATAGCCCCAGAAAGAATTGTAGGAAAGTAACATCTGGAACTTACAAATCCATTTACAGCAACGTAAGTTGGTAAGCCAGTGACAAGACACCAGTGATCTGCAGGAGGTGACCTTAAGACAGAGAATGGAATAAAAACCATCATTTCCTATTATACCATGAACTCCTACAGCTATTTACTATTTGAACCCCTAGTAAGAAGCACTTACGGAATTACTTGGATTTGTTCTTCTCCATGTAGAATATAATCGATAATCTTATAGAAGTTCACTTCCTAAACACAACAAAAAAGCAATACAAAAATCTTAAAACGTATCAACATTCCACAAATTGCAATTTGGACAGATGAAAGATATCTACTCACCCGACCATCAGGGGTCTTTGGTCCTTTGTAAGGCTCTACTTCTCCCAATTTAATTGGCCATTCATCATAAAATTCCTGGAAACAATTACATATTATTGAAGGGGCTCCTGAATAAAAGAAGCTTGTAAAAACCTGGGTGTCCTCCATATACAGTATTTTAGACTTCAATTCTCATCCTTGGCCATTGGATAAGAGAAAATCTGTTTCTGATAGGTTGCTTAATTCCTAGAAAACTCAACCAAGTATACTGTAAGCTCAGTACACAGCAGCATCCACAGAGAAGGACAAGACAGATGCAATGGGTGGCAAGAATAACCTTGGAAGACAGGAGGAAGAGCTGCAGCCAGGGCATTGGTTGGACAAGAGAAATTTCAACCTGCACAAGGAGTGGAGATGCAGAAAGCATCTCAAAAGAGACCCTCCCTATTTATCTAGAAAGTAAAGACAGGGGAGAAGGGAAATGCTTCCAAAAATGCAAGATTCTGTGACTGTAACCTTACAATAAAAATAGTGTTAGTACTCATGGATTTGATTTCCTGTCTGGACTATTGTCAAAAGACTGAGAATAACCTCTATGGCTATTATGAAATGGAAATCCTGTCTGTTGTGCGTTGTATACTCAATGCATGTAAAGAGAGGGCAGGGCTTCTCTCACTCTGTAGTCTATTTTTGAGCCCCTCATCAGAACATTTGGACCAGGGCAGGACAACACTTAATATGGTTAAAACACTGGGGTCCCCCGTGTTCTCTGAGTTTGGTGGTTTTCTTGCAGATGTTCCATTACCAGACTAGTAACATTGGCAGTACCGATATTATCATGCGCCGATGATGTTAACTAGTCTGGTAATGAAATGTTGGCAAGAAAATCACCTAGCTCTGAGATTTTCTGATTTTTCTTTAAGAAATTTCATTTCTCATCCAATAAACTTCTTCAATTCAAAACTGAACAAGCTTTTTGCATGAGAAGCGATCTGGACCAGTTCACCCTCTCCTTCGGCAACCTGGTGGCCCTCGGCTCCCTGGGGATCGCCATATCAATGGCAAACTTAGTCCAGACACCTGATTGTCGTAGCCCACTGCAGCCCAGAACTCCTGAACTCAAGCAATCCACTAGCCTCAACCTCCAGAGTAGCTGGCTTAGAGGCTTCTGCCTCTGCGCCCGACTATTGGATGAGAAGAGAAATGTCTTAAAGGAAAGTCAGTAAGTCCAATTGCCTTTATATAAAAAAAGCACTTTTGGGACTACGGTTGACTGAGAACCTCTATAGACACATTCAAGCTTAGAGAGCACCAAGGAATCCACAGTTCAACCCTGTGCTACAAATATTCTCTTCTATGGTTAAAACAACAGGGTGGGCAAGATTTCCCTTAAACAACAGGTTTCTGAAAGACAAATAACATTTCCATTCTAAACACACTTTATCTGAAACTATATTGATTGCAATATAATTCATTTTCAAAGATTGTGTTTTTCAATTTTTTTTTGTTTATGGCTCAGTTATGATTTCTATATGACAAGAGGCTTTCCTTGGAAGCAAGGAATGATAAAGAGTTAAATTGCTTTCTGGTGGTAAATAAAATTATACTGACCTTCTCTTTGGTCATATCCAGCAGACCAATGGAATATCTTTCGCAATTTAAATATTGTCGAACAGTGTACATGGCTTTGTGAAACTGTCGCTCAATATCTGTAAGTTCTTCAAATACTTTGTTGGCAGACCATAAAAGTATCTATTGAAGAGAAGGCAGAATGGGATGGAGGGGTAGTATTTTAATACGTGGCTGATGAGAGATAGAAAAAACATGATAACGTCTGTTCAAACCTTCAAGGCATTTGTGATATTATCTGATAAAGTCTATGACATAATAGGCTGTTTGGAACTAACACAGTTACCAAATATAGGCAATGGCAGGTTAACATGTCCTCGTGGCAAGAGAAAAGATAAAACCAAACTATCTGTACAAAAAATTGCATTTAGTTGACTATTAAAGTAGATAACAATCACCTACCTGACTCTTTCTAAGTTCAATGTTATACAGGTATGTCATGTGGCATTGTTTCACAGCAAGTGAAAGAAACTGAATATATTTATTAAAGACCTGCAAAAAGAGAGAGAGAGAGAGAGAGAAAGAAATGTACAACAAATTATTGGGCACTATCAGCATTTTCTCAGCCTTGGTGACTTCAAAATATGTGAACTTCAATTCCCAGAATTTCCTAGCCAACTGCCTGGGAGTTTAGTCCATATATTTTTAAGTTGTCAATGCTGAGACCAAATTTATATAATTACAGTTCCATGAGAACGAGATGGGTGGCAAATAAACTTAATAAGTAGACGATAGAAAGATAGATAATGAGATAGTAAGGAAGTTAACCTAATGGTTGTCTGACTCTTACTGGAAAAATTTGGCCTGCAGACAGAAGGCAATAAGGGTCTTGGTGGAGCCAGAGGGAGGGGTGAAAAGAGGGACCAGCCTTCAATCACTATGCAGCAACCAACGAATTAAGTCCGACCCCCCCCCCATTGAATGACAGTGACCCTTATCTAACTCAAATCAAGTAGGACCATTAGTTAAAAAGATTCTTGTGTATAGGCCTTTAGCAACAAATCAGTTAAATTGAACCTTAATGTGTGGTGTTTTGCACCTGACACTTGGGCCAGATGGAGGGGGCAAGCTTTTTTTTATTTATCTTTTTTATTTGGTTCTCAGCAACTCTTAAAGTCATCACTCAAATTAGGATTTTCAACTTTTTCTTCTTTTTGGGGGGGACTCAAGTGCTTAAGATACAAGTTACACCTTGAGGGAATGCTGCTTGACATGTCAAGTTTTAACATCAGGGGAAAAAAGGCAGGGTAAAAAAATTGCTCCTGCTAACTCTAGTGCTATCATATATCCTGCTCTTGAAATAATCACAGTAGAAGTAAATATTATTAAAAGAATGGCAAGTTAATAAATACAACCATAGTAAAAATCAAATAAATAATAATAATAATAATAATAATAATAATAATAATAATTATTATTATTATTATTATTATTATTATTATTATTATTATTATTATTTTATTTCTATACCACCCTTCTCCCGAAGGACTCAGGGCGGTGTATAGCCTAATTAAAAGCACAAAGACAAACAAAATTTAAAAATAATTAAAATTATTAAATAATTGGCTCAATTATAAAAACCCCAAATTTAAAATCCCGCATTTAAAACCAATTAAAATCTTTACATTGATAGCCCGGCCTGGTGGAACAACAAGGTTTTGAGGGCACAGCGAAATATACGGAGGTTGGAGATCTTACGCATTTCTGGGGGCAGTTCATTCCAAAGGGCAGGAGCTCCCACAGAGAAGGCCCTCCCCCTGGGTGTTGCCAGCCGACATAATTTGGCCGACGGCACCCTGAGGAGACCCTCTCTGTGGGAGCGGACTGGCCGGTGGGAGGCTACTGGTGGTAGAAGTACATAAAGTATATAGAAAGAAACATTTCTATCTTGAAAAGTATTGAACATTGGCTGGTTTATGTGATAAATCATCGCTTGCCACCAGTACTGTAGGGAGCAATGGCGTCCACAGTGAAATCAAAATTCAAGATGGCAGCCACGATAGCTGAATTGAAGCCCGTTTCTTCTTTATGTGCATCGCATGCACAACAACATATTTTAAAAGGCAGGGCTTGAATCACACAGTTGAAGACTTCCTCTTAACGTTTAGATACTCCCCTGTTCCCCCTTGTAGACGCTTCTGTTAGGCAAGCAAGTGGCATCTACTGTGAAGATATTTAGCTGAAATACACCTCTTTCTTCTTAAAGTTTCTCCTCTGATGTGCGTAAGAAATCCATGGAGTGAGCTCATGTTAGGCTTCAACAATACTAAAATATAAGATGATCTCAAGCTGCTCACCGAAAGAGGTGAGATTAAGCAAAGCAATGTATTTTCTTGAAAAATAAATCTGTACTTACTTCTTCATCCTCTTTAGTGAACTCAGAGGCATTTTGTTTATTAAGTGCCATGAAAACAGCGAGAACTTCCTTATTTTGCAAAATGGGAATGGTGAGCATATTGTTGGTCGTATAACCAGTTTGCTTATCCACAAAGTCAGAGAAGTGATTATTCTGAAACAAACAGGAACAGTTAGTTTATTTTTTCCAAGTGTGAGTTAGGATAACCCTGAGGATATATTTCATCTGCAAAGAACTGAATTGTTACTGCTTGTCTCTAACACCCCTGAGAGATAAGTCTCATTTATCCCTTAACACAGAGAAGTGTATTGAGGGAATGGCACAGTTATATAACGACACCTACAAGAGGGATATAGGGAGGCAAGTGATGAAACACACAAATCATATTGTGAAGTATGCGGATTTATTTTTATTTTTATTTTATTTCGAATTTATATACCGCACCTTCTCCCAAGGAACTCAGGGCAGTGTACAGCCAGATAAAAACATACAATACAAACATTAAAAACAATTAAAAGAATATATATTAATTTGGCCCCAGTTTAAAATGACAAACCAATTAAAAATATTTAAAAATATGTTAAGCCAGCCCGGCTTGCTGAAAAAAGAAAGTTTTAAGGGCACGGCGGAAGGCACCAAGGTCTTGGATTCTCCTTATCTCTGGGGGCAGCTGGTTCCATAGGGTAGGTGCCCCCATAGAGAAGGCCCTCCCCCTGGGGGTCACCAGCCTACATTGTTTGGCTGATGGTACCCCGAGGAGGCCCTCTCTGTGGGAGCGCACGGGTCGATGGGAGGTTGTTGGTAGCAGCAGGCGGTCTCGAAGATAACTAGGTCCTATGCCATGGAGTGCTTTAAAGGTGGTAACCAATACCTTGAAGCGCACTCGGAAGACATGGCAGTGGTGGGTCTGATCCGGGATAACAATGAAGAAGCTTATAAGGAGGAAATGAAGGCTCTGGTGGCCTGGTGCAATAAAAGTACCCTGGTTCTAAATGTTAATAAAACAAAAGAGATCATTGTAGATTTTAGAAAGAGCTGGTGTAGTCATACCCCACTCAGTATCAAGGCTGCAGCTGTAGAGGTGGTTGACAGTATTAAGTATTTGGGGGTGCAAATAACTAACAAGCTGAACTGGTCTCTCCAGACGTCATCCTCAGTAAAGCGTGGAAATCAGCGTCTGCATTTCCTGTGTCGGATAAGGAGAGCACATCTTTCTCCTTCTGTCCTGGCTACTTTTTACAGAGGCACAATTGAGAGCATTTTAACAAACTGCATGACTGTTTGGTTTGGTGGCAGCAGTGCAGTGATGGGTTTCTACCGGTTCGCCTGGTTCGGGCAAACCAGTAGTGGCGATGGTAAGCTGAGAGCGAACCAGTTCGCTCTGACTGTCAGCTGGGCCCTTGCACCCACCCCTGTGCTATACCTACCTATATTCATTTCTTTTTAGCCCAGCTGATAGGCGCGGCAGAGCGGATTACCGCACCTCAGCTGTTCTGAAATGCAATGTGCTTTGTTTGGCGTGCATGTGAGCGAAGCATGCGTGCAAGCGAAGTTTGCAAAACGCGCACAAAGCGCATGCACGAAGTGAACTGGTTGAAAACCACCACTGCAGCAGTGCCTCAGGTAGAAAGTCCATACAGAGAGTAGTGAGGACAGCCAAAAGATTATAGGAAGCTCACTTCCCTTTATTCAGGATACTGCTTATAAGCGCTATGTGCTTAGAGCTCAAAGCATTGTTAGAGATACACCCACTTCATGATCTGTTTCTGTTGCTCCCCTCTGGGAGGAGGTTTCAAAGTATTTCTAGCAGGACTACCAGCTCCTGTAACAGTTTTGTTCCCTATCCCATCTGTCCGGTAAACTTGCAAGATTTATTTTTCTCGCCATAAACATGTATACATCCAAACTAGACTGTGTTGTTTCTCTGGGCCATATAATATAGATGGGTATATACATATTATTTATTTATTTATTTATTTATTTATTTATTTATTTATTTATTTATTTATTTATTTATTTATTCATTCATTCATTCATTCATTCATTCATTTATTTATTTATTTATTTATTTATTTATCTTGTCATGTTCATGTAGTGTAAAATTGGAGGTGGTGACCCTTTAAGAGTTGTATGCAATGAAATTTCATTTTTAATGTATGCCAGTTAGTGTACATTCGAAGTGACAATAAAATTTCCTATTCTATTCTATTCTATTCTATTCTATTCTATTCTGTTCTGTTCTGTTCTGTTCTGTTCTGTTCTATTCTGTTCTATTCTATTCTACTCTACTCTACTCTACTCTACTCTACTCTACTCTACTCTACTCTACTCTTCTCTACTCTACCCTACTCTACCCTACTCTACTCTACTCTACTCTATTCTACCCTATTCTTGCAACAGAAGCGCTGTCATCTACATACTGTATTTGCATGTGGTATCATAACCCAAGCGTGAAAGGGATGATCTTCTAATGTCACAGCATATTTTGTCATTTTTGCATGATATCCTAATTAGTTCCACTGTAGGTTTTCCAGATAACTTCACTTTGGATTTGAAAGCAAATAAATACATCTAATTACCCAGGTATGTTCACCTAGTGCATTCTAACAATGTGTCTTCTCCTAAAATCAAACAGCAGGTGTGTAAGGCAGTTGCTACATGATCCCTCTAGAGCTGCAAAATATGTTATTCTTCTTTGCACCTTTTACAGAGTCATCTGAACCAGATTCGTATTACCTATGATTAGTAGATATCCTGCACGTATATTTGCCTTCTTTTGTAAGTAGATATCTTGGTCACCCAGATTGCCCAATGCAGCTCATAGATGAGGTACCCCTTGTTATGTTGCATGTAATTAAGTCTTGTGCATCAACAGAGAAGATACAGTACATGAAATCCTGATGGATCAATAACCTGTTCTTTGTAACTATAATTCACTGAAATTTTATATATTATTACTTTGTTGATATTAATACTTTTAGATACTTTTACTTTGTTGTAATTTTAGAAATTATCATATGTAATATAATGTTAGTGTTCACATTATAATTTTATATAGGCTATATTCTCACTTATAGATGTCAGTTGGGGTTGTTTTACAAATGAATTTTAACTCTGTTTTAAATTTTATTCTGTTTATTAATTATTATCTGGTCTTTGACTACTATAAATTGAAAATTGAAATAAATCCCAAGGAAAGATGCAGCTACCATAGAGTTGCAAATGAGGCCCCCTCTTCATCACATCAGCGTTTGTCTTCAGATCCAAAGTGCTGCATGGACCCCCCCAAAAAATATTTTAATAAATTACTCAGTTCTGCTTTGGCCTTTTGTCTTGTGGAAACATGGAGAAGACAAATGGAATTATTCCAATTGAACCCCACCGTCAATTCCCAGATAACTAAACCTGTGTTTTTGCATGAATCTCCATGCATGTATAACAAAATACTTCTATTCGTTGGTTAGGAGGCATGATACCAGTCTCTACCTCTGTGCCAGATTTATCTGCAGCAGTGTCTCTTTATCTCTCTCTCTCTCTCTCTCTCTCTCTCTCTCTCTCTGAAAATCGGCAATACCAGGATGTAAGCCCTGCTCCATTGTATGTGCAATTTGTCCCATAGATTCTACAACTATTTGAACCTTCTTAAATATAAATATGTAGAAGATAAACTGAATTTCAACATATGTATATGAATAGAGGCACAATTTGCCCAGTTCACAATATGAAACAGTGATTGGATGACATTTCAATATATACTTTGTCATTGAAAAACTAAACTAAATGTACATAACACAATTAATACTATCTCCTTTGGACTATAACTCTATATCAGCCCGCTTATAGAAGCAGTTTTACCATCTTATGAAGAAAAAAATTATTTCTTTATTTATCAAATTTGTCTAGTCCCCGATCTTGTGAGAAGTGAGCCAAGGTGGTGCAGTGGTTAGAGTGCAGAACTGCAGCTACTTTAGCTGACTGCTAGTTCAGCAGATCAGCGGATCAAATCTCACCAGCTCAAGGTTGACTCAGCCTTCCATCCTTCCGAGGTGGGTAAAATGAGGACCCAGATTGTTGGGGGCAATATGCTATTTAGTATACTGTCTTTGGCATAAGCTGCCCAGAGTCCTCGGAGAGTGGGCAGCATAGAAATATGACTAATAAAATAAATAAAATAATAAAAGTGACTCTGGGTGGCATAAAGCAAAAAATTTAAAAAAATGCAAACCATAAACACGTTGGACACAGTCATATTTAAACACACACATACACGAGATTCTATCAGTAATAAAGCCACCTCAAGATCCCACCAGTTCTCTGAGACCTACCCCCACCCCGACATCTGATGACAAAGCCAGATCTTGAGGGACTTCTGGGAAATGAGGAATGAGGCTGATCTCCCTTCAGGATTGAGAAGGTCCCAAAAGACAAGTGCCACAACAGAGAAGGTTTCCCCACCACCTCCTTGGGCCTACCGAGAGACAGCATGCCTCTCTTGTTGGAGCTGATGGGACAAGCGGATGTAATTGGGGAGACATGGTCCCTCAAACAACCTGGCCCCATGCCATGAAGGGCTTGAAAGATCAAAACCAGCATTTTGAATTGGATCCAGAAGCAGACTGAGAACTAATGCATCTTGCGGAGCTGAGACATAACATGTGCTGTTTTAGCACATATAACTGCTCATCCTACTGTATTTTGCACCAGCTGAAGCTTCCAGGGCAGCCCTGTATAAAGCACATTACAGTAATCCAATCAGGAGGTGACTAGGGCATTAGTAACTGTGAGCAGAGATCCCCAATCCAGGAATGGGTGGAACTGGTATGCAACACAAAGCTGTGCAAAGGCCTTTCTAGCCACAACTGCCATCTGCAGTCCTGAGGCCCACAGATTGTGCTCTGGGTGTGTGATACTTCACCCCATGGTGACAGACAAGGTTACCCAACAGCTTCACATAAATATTAAATAAGTGTAGGGACTCTGCATCATCTCACATACTTGGTTCTCGGGCAGGATCTCTCCTCCTTGAACACACCCCAACTGGATCAGACAACAACACAGTGCCACCTACCCACAATCTAGACAATCCAGAAGGATACTATGTTCAATGGAATCAAAAGCTACAGAGACATCAAGTAGGGCAAGGATGGATGGAT